TATATATTATCCATTTCCTCAAAATGACAAAATTATTTAAAAAAAAAAGAAAAAAAAAGAAAGAAAGAAAGAAACTAGATACTCATTTGAGAGATCAGTGATGCTGGAAAATATTTCATGAACAGGACAAAATTGAGTCTTCCCTGAAAAGTTTTCAAATGGTCCAGCTCTATTTTCAGACCTACTAAGACCACATGACAAAAGTTAATTCTGTATTGACGGTAGTTGCTGTAGTAGTATCAGAATGAGTTAAAAATGTAGTATTGTGATGTAATTGTACCTAGGTTTAGCTGGCTTGTTTAAAAGGAAAACATACCCTTCCCTGTGTGTAGTCTTTATGTATGTTTTGCAGATGTTGAGTTAGATGAATAATATGTACTTCTAAACCAAATTTACTCTTAAACCAGTCAGGATCAACCCTAATTCTGTGTGCTACTACTATATTTTCTACTATTTTATAATGCTTACTAAACATATTTGGGTATACTTTATAATAACCAAGATTTAGTACATAATGAACATATAGTGTGTTAAGATTGATGTAATTAGGGGTAGTAACTGCAAACTTTAAATGTCTTATTTTATGCAAAATTAACTCTTGTGAGCTTTAAGCCATGTTGGAATGGTGTTAGAAAAACATACTCTGAGTTCTAGTCCAATGAGGTTTATTTGGTCTTCTGATAATTTAGGTTAAATTAAATTAAATTAAATTAGGTTCTTTTTTCAGACCAAGGGTTTGTTTTCATACCTGACAGTTTCGACTGGTCATTAGTGGTCTTCCTCAGAGTATTCATGTGATGTTGCTGTAACGTGTCTGGTCAGCTGATTTATACAAGTTTACAGGTTAGGTTACAATTAAAATCAGCCACTGTAAAAACTCTGTGAACACTGTAAAAGAGAGAACCTCATTATGGACTGGGATGGAGCAAACATCACTGGGACAGAGGAAAACAAACACTGTCGCTGGTTTCAAGAGGCAATCGAAATACGGAAACAGAAAAAAGGACTATAAACTGGGACAAGGGGGCTTTTTTACTCTTACACACCTGGGATACTGTCCTGAGGAAGTCGGATTGCAGATGACACTGTCATCCTACCTCCTCTGAAAGGAAGACAGCTCCAAAACCTGTATAAATCAGCTGACCCGACACATCACAGCAACATCACATGACCACTCTGAGGAAGAGCGCTAGTGAGCAGTCGAAACGGTCAGGTATGAAAACAAACTCTTGGTCTGAAAAAAGAACCTAATAACGTATGCTCGGAGTTCTGTTTCATTTCATTCACACATGATTGAATAACGCTTTATTATTAGTCTGTATACATCTCCAAAGCTCAAAATACTTCAACTTGTGATGTCTTGAAACTACCTTCTACCTTTTGTTTACTAGAGATTGCCAATTCCAGCTCTGAAATTGTCCAAATGATTCTAGTGAAGGTGTATGGAGTTAAAAATCACAGTGGAGCACTTCCTGTATTACCACATAACATCACAAGCTGGAACAGAGTTTTCTGTTTGAAAGTAGTACTAAATATGCAGGACTGTGAGTTAAACATGAAACAAAACACAACTCCAGGTCTGTTTGTGATGAGGAAACAACATTATAACATAGGTTAGAAAATAGCATGATGTTTGTAATTATACTGCTGTCTCTGTGTGATTTGACAGATTTTTACGTCACCTTTCTTATTTATTCTCAACCAGCCATATTCTGTGTGACAGGGAAAAGGTTAAATGTTTTGCCCAAGGACACAACAACAGCTCGGCCCACTCCGCCCACGCAGAACACTAACAACACATATTTTCCAACCAAACCAAACCCACCTTTAACCTTTCGCACATGCCTCGCCAGCAGTAATCCATACGAAATATCAATTACACAGCGGGTCCCTATAACACGGAGCCGTATAATGTGTTTGTGTGTACATGCATGTGACACGGTGGACGCTTGACTGACCCGGTGTGCGCCTGTTATTTTAGCTGTAACGTAATGACTTGTGACTCCAGCACCCTAGGGAGACACACCCCACCGCCACCCACACAGCCCCACTGACGTCACCCGCCATGACCGCACACATCATCATAAACACCCTCTAATTGCGCCTCTGGACAAACTGCTCTAAAAATAATGATAAAATGAAATGAAAGCTTGGTTTGTGCTGGGGATGGCACGATATCGCTTATACCTTGTTTAAAAAAAAGGAAGACGATAATCTATGAAAGATAATTTGTTTGATTAGAATCATGGACACCAAACCAGACCAAGTTACAGATCAGATCTGTGGAGAAGCAACCCTGCTCACAGTCAGAATGTCTGTTCTTCTAGGTATTTTTGAGCTATAAAACCACCTGCAATTGAAGAAATGTAAGGTACAGAGTTCCCACGGTCATGGAAATCCTGGAAAAGTCATAGAAATTGAAAATGTCATTTTCCAGGCTTGAAAATGTCTTGAAAAAATTTGTAAATTCAATGAAAGTTCTGGAAAATTCATGGAATTTTAGTATATCTTTCACGCAACTACAGCGTTCTGTAAAGTTATTATTAGGGTAGTATGATTATTTCCGAACATATGCACCTTTTGTTTGAAAGAGACGACAGTAAATGCACTGACAGTATTTTGAATGTTAAAAACTATAAGGTGAGTGGAAAGGGTTAACATTTCATATTTAGCCCTAAAAGTATACTCAATTCTACACATGTACGGTGCTGTAAAGTCATGGAAAATTGACTTTAGGTCATGAAAAAGTCCTGGAACCCTGAACGTAGAGCTATTTAATGTTATAATATATATATTTAATGTGAAATATTGCAGGCAGAGCAATGGCAATGGCAACTTCCTATGTGTAACGCAGTGTTAGCTATGTCCATTTATACGGTTTATATACGGTCTGTGCTTGCCAGTCACGTGGTCTCATACCAGCCCTGAGAAGAGAGCGCTGCGAGGAGTAGAAAGTCACAAGATACTTGGGCAATTTTGTTACAGAGACTTAATAATCCATTTTATTTATTGTTTTTGTTGCGTTTGGTTCAACAATGGTTTAGTCAAGTGCATTTGTTGTTAACAAGTCCTTGCTGTAAGCCAGACTACATTAGGCTATTTTTAATTTAACAAGTCTATTTTATTTAGGTCTATTGTTTTTGGTTTGCATTTTTATTCCATTGCCATTATATTAGTTGAAAATGGTCTCAAAATGTCAATATCATCATTTATCACTAATATTTTTAAACCATTTGGAATTGCGATAATTTTTGTGATATTATCGTTAATCGTAATCATTCTCACCAAAATAATCTTGTCACAAAATTTCCAAATGATCCCGTACCTAGTTTATACGTTAAAGGTTGCTGGGTGGCTTTGCTGTGCCCCCGGGGAGAAGCCTATGACGATAGATAGTGACATAAATATGTGCTTAAAAGAAGGATTGTGATAGAAAGCCGGATGTGCGGAGTCAAGCGAGGAAACGGTAAGAGGAAGAGACAGGCAGGAATGGGATGAAACCCTAATGAATCCAGAGGGGAATAGTAGAGCGAGCTGCAGTGTACTGTTGAGAGTACTATCACATACAAATACAATACAAACCTGCTGTTGTTGTTTAGAGATGCACCTACGTTATATTTGCCATTGTCCTGTTGTGTGGGAGGTTATTGTAGTTCTCATACGCGAATTTGGAGAGATCTTTATATTTTGATTTAGCTCTTAAAGGGTTCGTATTACGCTGTTTTCTGATCTATGTTATAATGTTTCCTCTTCAAAAACAAACCTGGAGAGGTGGGGTTTTTTTTCATTCATACATGTTTAACACACAAATCCTGCATTTTTAGGCTAGTTACTGAAAAGGCTTCCAACTTACATACAGGAAGTGCTCCACTGTGTTTTTAGACTCTCTGCATCTTCACTAGAATCATGAGGATAATTTCACCCCTGGAATTGCATAACTCTACTGAATAAAAGGTAATACGTAGGGATGTAACGATATCTAAATCCCTTGATATGATATTTTCACGATATGCATCTCACGGTATGATATTTATTGAGATATTTTGTAGTAGACGATACTTTTCTTTGTAAAATGTATCGACAAGACTTTGGTTCTGTCATAATCCAAGATATTTCTTCGTGTAAGTGGCACTGAAACGGTGAAAAGGCTCATGGTCTATGTAGTTCCCTCTCTTTTTGTAGCTGCATTGCTGCACTATAACTTCAGAGACTTCGATATTCAGTATATTGTGATGGTCCACGATATTATTGTGAGACTTCGATACGTTTTTTCGGATAACGGCCGTTTCCTGTTTACATGACTTAAACTGCGATGCCGAACTGAACCAGGACTGAACCAGGACTGAAACAGGACTGAACCAGGACTGAAACTGGACTGAAACAGGACTAAAACTGGACTAAAACAGGATTAAAACAGGACTGAAACAGGACTGAAACAGGACTGAAACAGGACTGAAAAAGGACTGAAACAGGACTAAAACAGGACTGAACCAGGACTGAAACTGGACTGAAACAGGACTAAAACTGGACTAAAACAGGATTAAAACAGGACTAAAACAGGACTGAAACAGGACTAAAACAGGACTAAACCAGCCTGTCAAGCATTTATACACTTATAAGTGGTTTCATAGATTTCCGACATGTATTTTGATGGGTTCACCAGCTTGTCTCCATGAAGATGGTTAAGTTAGTAGGGATGTAACGATATCCAACTCTCTTGGTACGATATTATAACAATATGCATCTCACGGTATGATATTTATTGCAATATTTTGAAAAGACTAATATAATTGTAGATAGGGCAAGTTTATGCTTTTAAACTACCTTGATAAGATTTTGGTGTGAATTATTTCCATCATAATCCCAAGAATTCAAGTAAAAAACATATCTCTCCATCCGTTATTTGCACTGAAATGAATCATGGGATATGTAGCACTATATATACTTTTTTTTTTTGCTATCTAAAAATATTTGTTTGTTTGTTTCTTGCCCGTATGCAGCTGATGACGAAGCACCCTGCGAAGCGCCTGGGCTGCAGTCCCGAGGGGGAGCGTGATATCCGAGAGCACAGCTTCTTCCGCTACATGGACTGGGAGAAACTGGAGAACAAGGAAGTGCAGCCGCCATTCAAACCAAGAGCCGTAAGTCACATGACACAGACTCCAGCAGGCACAGGAACACACCTCCTCACCGGGACCGGAAGGGCATGTGGAGTAGTTACTGTCCTATCTTTGTTCTCTGTTTTAGCTGTTCATAGTGAAGGACAGGATGGAGGGATTAGATTGAATTACCAGTGAAAGCTTATTTTCACTGCACATCCATCCATCCAAAGGGCTTTTGAAATGGGTTCAGAGAAAGTTTGAAAGAAAATAAATTATAAAGTATGAGAACAATTGAAAAAAAAAAAAAGTTACGAATTTCCTGCTGTAATGCGATTTTATTTCTATGCTCATTAAACTTGTATTACAGAAAATAGGACACCTAGTACATACACAATCAGATTTTAGAGCAATAAATGTTCTTTTCGATTACATTTAGTGCGGGAAAAAAATCACAGAGTATTCTTTGCAATTAGGTTTACATTTCTTATCAAACTGACCAAATTTCCCTTTCCACACAATATTTTTTCTACCAAATTATAGCCTACGAGTTTTATTTAAAAAGCAGGGTTCCCACGGCCATGGAAATTTGTAAATTGAGTGAAAGTTTTGGAAAAGTCAAGGAATTTTAGTATCTCTTTCACTCCACTACAGTGTTCTGTTAAGTTATTGTTAGGCTATTATGATTATTTCCAAACGTGTGCGCCTTTTGTTTAAAAGAGACGACAATAAATGCACTGTCAGTGTTTTGAATGTTAAAAACTATAAGGTGAGTGGAAAGGGTTAACATTTCATATTTACCCTAAAAGTCTGATCAATTCTACACATGTAGGGTGCCATAAAGTCATGGAAAATTCACTTTAGGTCATGAAAAAGTCTAGTCTTCGTAGAAACTGTCTGAGTGTTAGAATTCATTCGCTCGACGGTAGGCGGGTACTTTTTTTATTCAACCAATCACTGCTATTGGGTCATGACTTATGTAATGTGCCACTGTTAAGCTTTTCCCAAATCCCGTAGAAAGAAGGGCAATAACGTCTTTCCCCTTGATAAAATTCACCAAACATTCTCTTTGTTCTGGCTTTAAATCCTCAATCTCGGGAATAATTTCCAACACAGAATGTATGGCTCTTCGCTGATTGGCTGGTGCCTGAACTCACACTTCCAGGGTTTTTGCGAACCCTCCAGTGTATTCTGATTCCTGACCTAGTCGCTGGAGAGAAATGAAATTGACCGGAGGCATTAGTCATGGAAAAGTTTGGAAATTTTGTCATTGAAAAAGAGTGGGAACCCTGAAAAAGACTGACTACAATAATATTACAATGCAACAAAGACAATACATAGCAATAAGTTAAAAAGTATTTCTATTTTTACCTTGAATTTCTATGAAGTAACTCATAATACAGTCTAGTATTTACCTGATTCAGAGATTGGGCAATAATTACTCCACTTGACCACGTACACATCCTTACATCTTTTAAGTATTTTCCTTTGACGTGCTGCTCCTCTTCTGTCTGTTCTGTCATATTTTTACGTCCAATGACATATTTCTATCTCTTTCTTGTATCTGTTGTGATCACAGGTAAGTCCTAGCCGAATCATAAGGCAAGATTTTCCGTTGAACAGTTTCAGTGGCTGTATTGATACTTTGCAGCTGACGCCATTAATGTTTCTTGGGGGTGCGATGTTAACTGAGGCACTACTCTGTCTGAGGCATTGTTAAACTTTATTCTGAGCTTTGATTTAACTTCATCTGACCAGAAAGAGTCTGTCACACATAAAATTAGAGTCACGAAATCACAAGCTATTGAAAATTAGTTTTAAATAAATGTTTTAGTTTTCAGACAGTGTCTAAAAAAATGTATCAGGTCGTGTTTGCTGGTGCGCGCGTTGTGTCACCATGGTAACTGCCAGAGGTGGGACCAAGTCGTCGTTTTGCAAGTCTCAAATCTCAAGTCCGAGTCAAGTCCCAAGTCAAAAACAGGCAAGTCCAAGTTGAGTCTCGAGTCACTGGCCCATAAGTCCAAGTCAAGTCCAAGTCGTCTGCTTTGAGCTTCAAGTTATTTCAAGTCTTTAAACAAAAGTACCAAATAAAGCTTAGATTTTTGCAATTTATATGTCTTTTAAGATACTTTTACTTATAAAGTCAGTATATTTATATATGAATATTTATAGAGTATGTAAGAGTTGTAGAAATGTTTTATAGAATAGAATATGTTTTATCAGCAGCACAGCAAAAGAACTTCATAGACCATGATCCTTGCAGTGAAGCTAATTACAGGGTTCCCACGGTCATGAAAATCCTGGAAAAATCATGGAAACTGAAAATGACATTGACATCCAAGCCTGGAAAAATCATGGAATTTAGTAAATTCAATGAACGTTTTGGAAAACTCGTGAAATTTGAGTATCTCTTTTATGCAACTACAGCGTTCTGCTTTGAGCTTCAAGTCATTTCAAGTCTTTAAACCAAAGTACCAAATATAGCTTAGATTTTTGAAATTTGTATGATGTTTAAGATACTTATACTTATAAAATCATAGTATATTTATATACGAGTATTTATAGAGTATATAAGAGTTGTAGAAATGTACATTTTTCCTTTTTAAATGTCTTGACAAGATCTTAGTGTGATTTCATTATGGTCAGAATAGAAAGAATTAAGATTTAAAAGTGCATCTCACATCTTCTCAAATCACAGGCCTCAAGTCCAAGTCAAGTCCCAAGTCACTGACCTTCCAGTCCAAGTCTAGTCCGAAGTCTTTATCCATTTTATCCAAGTCAAGTCTCAAGTCCTAAAAATAGTGACTCAAGTCTGACTCGAGTCCAAGTCACGACTTGCAAATCCCCACCTCTGGTAACTGCAGAATACTCCGCCATAGACATAATAAGAACACCCCCAGCATGATGTCGCTGCAAAGTATCAACAGTACGACACAATTATATCATAGACACAACTTTCTTCTATGTAACTTATGGAGATTACCTTAGATAACCACTTTTTGTTGATCTTTTTTGTGCATTTTATAAAGCGTAGTCTGATCAAAATGATGTCATCTTGTACTATAATATGCAGACTTGCACCTTCTTAGCTCCAGGCCACTGTGCTACTTAAGAGTTTTTCCGAGTTGAGCAATTTCTGCATCTGTCACTGGGATTTTATGTGTGCGTAGATAAGAATTCCTCCTGGACAAATTTTTCACATTTTTATATTTGAACATTTGAACAACAAAGACGTGCTAAAATGGTGCGAATTATCTTCTCTCTCTTTTTATTTTTTTATATTTCAGAATTTCTGTTTCATCTTTGGGATAGGGTTACTCTTTGAACGCTGTGTACGAGCAGGTAGCAGGTGTTTTTTTAGAGGTAGCATAAAAGTTTTAGCGACGGAAGTCCACAGCCATCTGTCAAGGATGCTTTGGGTGAAGAAATGGGCCATATGTAGATTTTGTTTCATATGAATTATAATATTTTAGATTACAGGTTAGGAAGAATTTGAATTTTATTACTTACTGATTTATTTTTATTTTATTTTTTTAAATTCATGAACATTTTAGCCCTAAAAAGTAACCAAATTATTATGGTTTTCCTTTTTTTTTTTTTTTTTGAACAAAACATTGAATATCTACAAAAAAACACATTTTAATGTCAGAACGCAGAATTTTACCCTCTTTTATTTTGGTTATTTTATGTTTTTATAGGGACAGCTAAACTTGTATTATTTATTGATTTATTTTTTAAAATTCATGAACATTTTTAGCCCTAAAAATTAACTAAATTATTATGGTTTTCCCTTTTTTTTTTTTTTTTTTTTGAATAAAACATTGAATATCTACAAAAACACACACACATTTTAATGCCAAAACACAGAATTTTACTGTCTTTTATTTGGTTATTTTATGTTTTTATAGGGACAGCTAAAAACATATCAACTTATCTACAAAAACACTGGCTTACTGTAATGAATGTGTTGAATTTGAACAAAAAAGACGTTTATTAAGACTAAACATAAATATGTGCATAAAAGAAGCTACATATGGCCCTTTTAATCATGCAGCAGACTGATTACAGACCACTCATGGCATCACCTTCATTTCTATATTGTCTATTTACCAGACAATGTACACATCTTTTTTCTCTAACACCGTTCACACCATCGAGTCTCTTGTCGTTCTCCTGTTCACCTTCACACAACCTTCTTTCCAGCTGTCCAGGCATGTTTCTCTCTATCCTCAGTCTCATATTTTTATTTGTTCGACTTTAAATGTTGAGTTTTTTGCATGTGTTTTCTGCATGAACATACCTTGCCTCAAATGAAACCTGTCTACTGGCTGTGCACTACGGAACACACGTTTGCTCCTGTGTTATAAAATATGGGAAATTAGATCAAGACTGACAAAATATGATCTCTAATTTTGCTTTTTAATCCTAAACTTGGACTGTTGTTTAGCGAATTGCAAGATGTTATGTGTAATCTATGTTTTATCAGCAGCACAGCAAAAGAACTTCACAGACCATGATCCTTTGCTCCATTTCAGTGAAGCTAATTAAGAAACGACTGGTTATTTAGACACTTTCTTATTTTTATCTGGGAACAAGCATACTGTATATGACGGCATTAATACCTAAAAAAAAAAAAAAATAAAAATTGTTTGTATTGATCTAACACGGAGGTTTTCAAATTCACGACCCCCTTGTGTGTGTAGCATGGTTTAGTCCTGGTTAAATCCTGGTTTAGACCTGGTTTAGACGTGGTTTTAGTCCTGATTTTAGTTTTGATTTTAGTTCTAGTTTTGACCTGGTTTAGACTTCGTTTTAGTCCTAGTTTAGTCCTGGTTTTAGACCTGGTTTTAGTCCTGGTTTTAGTCCTGGTTTAGACCTGGTTTTAGTCCTGGTTTTAGTCCTGGTTTTAGACCTGGTTTTAGTCCTGGTTTTAGTCCTGGTTTTAGACCTGGTTTTAGACCTGGTTTTAGTCCTGGTTTTAGTCCTGGTTTTAGTCCTGGTTTTAGTCCTGGTTTAGACCTGGTTTAGACCTGGTTTTAGGTTTAGTCCTGGTTTAGTCCTGGTTTTAGTCCTGGTTTAGACCTGGTTTAGTCCTGGTTTAGTCCTGGTTTTAGTCCTGGTTTTTAGACCTGGTTTAGACCTGGTTTTAGACCTGGTTTAGACCTGGTTTTAGTCCTGGTTTAGACCTGGTTTTGGACCTGGTTTAGACCTGGTTTAGTCCTGGTTTTAGTCCTGGTTTAGACCTGGTTTTAGTCCTGGTTTTAGTCCTGGTTTTAGTCCTGGTTTTAGACCTGGTTTAGACCTGGTTTAGACCTGGTTTAGTCCTGGTTTAGTCCTGGTTTTAGTCCTGGTTTAGACCTGGTGTTAGTCCTGATTTTAGTCCTGGTTTTAGTCCTGGTTTAGACTTGGTTTAAACCTGATTTTAGTCCTGGTTTAGACCTGGTGTTAGTCCTGGTTTAGACCTGGTGTTAGTCCTGATTGTAGTCCTGGTTTAGTCCTGGTTTAGACTTGGTTTAAACCTGATTTTAGTCCTGGTTTAGACCTGGTTTAGACTTGGTTTAAACCTGATTTTAGTCCTGGTTTTAGCTGTTTTTTAACTCAAAGCTGCAAATTTACCTAGTTTGGACTAAAATGACAGGACTAGGAACAGTAGACAATACTAAAAAAATCATATACAGAGTTAAGTAGCAAAAATGAAATGAATAAATTACTTCCATTTTAATTTGGTCATGATATTGAAACATGTAAAGTGTCACAGGCCTAAAATATCCTAAAATGTACAGTAAATCGTCTTGTCCTCTGTAATCCCTACACGGGACTCTCTATTTGCCTACATCCCAGGAGCAAAAAAACCAACCCAAGCAATTATCCGTAAATAAAATTTGACCCCGGCGTGTTTCTCATTTCCCAGATTTCCCCAAACTCAAACAGTACGGCTTCATTTCATTTGGCTTTGGGAGTAGTACGGACTTAATGAGTTTATGCCTCTCCTATGGGTGCTGTTGTCAGAGGACGCCGGATCCTTGTTGCGTTAATTAAACCCGGTGCAGTGATAGAGATGAGGCAAAGTAATCGGCCAGTCCTATAAGACACGCTGTTGACAACACAGTTTTTAATTTACTAACTAGTTTTTATGGACGTGGAACAACGCGGGTCTCTGGGGTGGAAACGTTATTTGTGGTCTCAGTGGTTAAGATAAGGAAATATAACAATAAAGTGGACAAAAAGACCCAAAATGTAATATATAAATTACTGGGAAGACAATATTGTACTGTAACACTGGGAAAAAAATGTTATCCCTGTAAAACAAAACTCAAAAAAGTTTCAAAGTTAAATAATTTCAAGCCTAAATCACTTTAAAATAGCTGATTTAACCTGAGACACCTACACAGTAAGTTTGTCGGTGTCCATATTATTATAAGTAAACTTCTCCTTAGTTTGTGCTACTTAGCTTGCAGTTTCCTTGAGTTATTTTCCTGTCCTGATTTAGTAGATCACATCTCAGCAGGCTTTCATAGCTGCTGCATATAATTAACCTACAATTAACCCATAATTGTCCTGTAATGAATGGCTTTCAGCGCTTTCCTTTATGCTTGCTTAGGCATGCAAATTGAACACATCTTGCAACATAACAAAGTTCTTTAAACACAATGTTTCAAACAAAGTGCACTTCCATTAGACTGGTTTTCATTTGAGATGCATATTTGAAATTGTATTGAATATGCTTTGGATATTGGAAGAAGCGGTGATTAAGGCTCTGGTGGGCTTAATGGACAGAAATAATTTATAAAACCAACTTTCTGAAGACTTAACAACTCCTATAACTAGTTTGTGAATTTTGTTCTCTTACTATGGCAATGAAAACTTTCTTTCCGACCTTAGAGTCTGCTTAAAGCAACTCTATGTAACTTTCTGGAGGTGGTGCATCACCTGCTTGATTCCATGGAAATATTAAGTTAAATCCATACTTAGGAAAACTCTCCATGGACATATACATTTTATACCGTAATGTGAAAGATTATAGGCATGGAAACGAGCAGGAGGTCAGGTTTGTGGAGATACAAGCCTGATCACAGCAAGAATGCATTTATTTTAGTAAAAAAAATAAGTTACACACTGCGGCTTTAAATTAAGATTGCTCCAAACACAGAACTAGTTTTAATTTAGTGGAACATTTGAGTATGTATTTATGAAGTATCAGTATGAGTTATATATAAACTCTGTGATTCATTTCATTACATTAAGAGGCTCAAATTAAGCTCATGAAAGCCTTTGCCCTTCTTCCGAAATCCGAAACAATGTTCAAATGTTGTCATCTCACCTCCTGGCTCAACCCACCGTTCCCTTTTTTGTTCTCCTCTCTCCTCCTCCTCCTCCCCCTCCTCCCTCTCCATCCATCTTACCCCCCCACCCCTCACCCCCTCACCCGCTTCACCCCAAACCCTCTTTAACAGTGTGGACGCGAGGCGGAGAACTTTGACCGCTTTTTTACCCGCCACCCGCCCGTGCTGACCCCACCCGACGAGGAGGTCATTCAGAACCTGGACCAGGACGAGTTTCAGGGCTTCTCCTTTATCAACCCTGAGTTCCCCGGAGCCACTCCCCCCGTCAGTGGCCTCGAGCAGGCCTGAGAGGGGCCCAGCGGACACTCTCGCACATGCATTCACGCTCATACAAATAACAATACTGTACCATATACAAAGGCATGTTTTTCACTATTTAGAGGTGTGTCTATGGCTGAATCAACTTGAATACCTTGATACCGCAACATATCTCTGTTTGCTCTGAAACTTACATCAACATCGACGTCAGCCTTGTTTCCAAACTTTATTACAAATCATGTTCAAATATATATAGTAAGTTTTGTATGGTTAAAGGGACGGTCTAGAATTTTGGACATAGGTCCTAATTTCCTAGTGAGCCAGAGTGTTGGAGACACTTTTTTTAAATATTCCATCCAGTCCTTGTATTTGCAGAGGTCGCTGGTGCTAGGCTAGTGCATGTCAACGGCCATAGTTATCCTGCCACCTTACCCACTCCACAAAACACCTGAAACAAATCTATTATTACGCCAGACTGTCGATATAAATGTCTGTGAAGAGAGAAAAATGTTTGAAATAAAACTAACCTTGCATCGCATGAATCGTCGCACGTTGAGGGACTATTTTCTCATATATCAGTCCGCTGCTGCCACGTTTTCTCTCAGGAAGTACAACTCGCTGCTGCTACTCAGACATCCTTCAAATGCAGGGTTAGTTTTACCTCAAACATTCTATCAACACAGACATTCACATCGAACAGTCTGGCTTACTAATAGATTTACCTCGGGTGTTTTGTGGAGTGGGTTAGACTGTTTTTAGTGGCAGGATAACTATGGCCATTGACATGCACTAGCCTAGCACCAGCGACCTCTGCAAATACAAGAACTGGATGAAATATTTTAAAAAGTGTCTCCACACGTTTCCAACACTCTGACTCAATAGGAAATTAGGTTCTATGTCCAAAATTCCTGACTCTCCCTTTAAAGAAGCGCTATGTAACTTTTCTGGTGGAGGGTGGGCCACCTGTTTGTCTCTGTGGCGATGTTATTTCTTTGCCTAGAATGTTCCACAGTACGACATTAAACTCGAATATGTTACAGTAGGTCAGGTTACATGTCAGGTCTGTGTAGAGGCCACTTCATTCACACTAAGAATCCATATTTTCTTCTTGTGTATTCTTGGTAATAAAAACACCTGTAATTGATATTTTTAAGACTGTGGAACATTCCAGGCCATGGAGACAAACAGGTGGCAGATCCTCCACCAGAAAAGTTCCATAGTGCACCTTTAACAACTTCATATTCATTTTGATTGTTATGGATAGTACTTAAGTCAGGGGTGTCAAACTCAAATTCACAGAGGGCCAAAATTAAAAACTGGGACTAAATCATGGGCCAGACTAAATATTTACTGAACAATTTCAACAACATCTGCATCTTTTCTCTTCTTTTGAGAGATGTAATATTAAACCTTTTAAGCATTGAATCCAGAACAAGCAAAATACAAAATAATAAGAAAATCTGAAATAAATAATGTCACTTTCGCAGGCCAAATTTGGCTCCCAGGCCTGAGTTTGACATGTCTGACTTAAGTTAATAAATAAATATATGTCGTACATAAACACGAGGCTGTAGAGAATAATGGGCTGTCCTATATCAGTCTGTGCTGTACTTGTTTGTGCAGACTACATAACGTGATTTTGATGTACGATAATTGTTTTTTTAAATATGAAATGAATGAAATATATACTCAAAATTGTTAGGACCATGTTAAAATTAACATATTATGGGATACACACTTACAAATTGTTCATAAAAAGTATAACTATGAATGAAAATTTGAAGATTTACAGCCAAAAGATGAGAATAATTAATTTAAAGGAGAATAATGCAAATTCAAGAACATACCCAAGAGACTGCCGCATACATTGTTGTGCAAACCTACAGAAATCCATAGATATTTTCATTTATGTACCAATTATGTACTGAGAAGTTGAATTATCTGCCTATCCCAGTGTTAGCTCTGTGTTGTTGTCATGAACGCCATTAGAATTAGACTGTACATGCATTTATCTATCTATCTTATAATATGCTTGACCTACCCGTGCATGAGTCCCTATATTGACTGGACTTTTGTCTCCTTATCATATTTTGGCATTTCTAATCACCGTGTACATTGACAATAAGTTTTGCAGTTGTTCGATACAGGGTAGTCGTCTCATTTGTGCCACTAATGACCACAGGTATTGAATTTTACTGTGCATTCGGGTCAATAATGCTAAAATGCTATGGGGAAATGTGCTCTTTTGTATTCTGTTAAATAGACACAGTTAAAGCGTGCTATGTCCAATACTTTTCTGTTAGTGTGTAAAGGAGCTGTACCTGATTTTTACTGCCTTAAAAACGAGAAAAACAGAACTTATTCCTCGCTTTCTTAAAATATTTCTAGCATTCTAATTAGACTCGGACAAACTTTATTGATCCACAAGGGAAATTATTTGGCAACAGTAGCTCACACATCACAATATAATATCATAATAAAAAAATATAAACATAAAAATATAAAAAAAAAATACATAATTATATAAATGTAAATGTACAAGTAAAAATAAAATGGAAAGATAAGTAAGAAAATATAAAAATCACAGCTTTATAATTATTAATTAAACACCGTGATAAGTTTATATTATATATGGCTTTTCACTGTGAGTGGTGGAGTTTTGCGAACAACTAGCATGCTAACAACACACTGGGACTTCCTAAAAACTTCACATTTCATCCAGGGGCAGGACTTAACTTTATTGAAACCATGGCCACCCACTTTTAAATGGTGTTTTCTATTCATTTAAGCTGCCTGGTCAAAAAAAAAAAAAAACTTTTGACAAGATAAAGTGAATTTAGACCTAAAATTTTACCAAAAACATATCACATTTTTCTTTTACTTTCTGTTATTCGACACTACAGCCACTTTGTATTAGTGGTTATGCTCAAAAATTTTGATTTTTTTTTTAATAGAGGTGTGCAAAAATATCAATATATCGTATCATTTAATGTCATGATACAGTATTGATATCGTGAGCTAGTTCATTGATACATCACCAATAGTATTTTTTGGTATATTTTACTAAATTATTTTGTTGCAGCGCTACAGTTTTGTTGATTAAATGATGATTAAAATGGGTGTGTAACTTTGAACAAGAAAAGGTTTAACAAAGACATTTAGTGTCACAACCATCATTTTGCTTGAATTTTTTTATTGAACTATATAAAATCAACATAAAATATATCATATGTATCTTTTTCACTCTCAGGTTAAGATCAGGATCAGGATTAGGTTTAGGAACTGGTAAGTTTAGAGTTTTTGGCGGGGTTTGCAAACTGGGACTTTGCAATACTGAGCTGTAATTTTTAAACAAACGAAAATTATGAATAAATAAATGTATTAGTTAACTGTATTTAACAGATCAGAAAAAGACTGTTAATGTCTCTGAACGTTAGTATTTGCTGTAATTATATCTGCTGGTTATAAAATGAACTGAAAACAGCACGCAGCCGTTAAAAGCTTTGATTGACAATAAAACTCTCAGCCCCGCCTTCGGACGAAATGCCAAGAATTTAGTTAGTCCCACGTCACATTAGCATTAGTTCCCGGTTCGCTGAAGATAAAAATGGATTATAATTAAACACAATCAGCACACAACACTCTTATCTGTACTGAGGCATAATAAATGTTGCTTTATTACATGAAAACAAAAATCGGGTGCATCTCCTTTCAGCTATTCAAAAGTATTTATAGAAAGCGTGCTCCCCACATACTTGTTTACATTGACGATACAGGTCGGTTTGTATCTTGAGTAATACTGTGAGAATTTTGTATGCGCAGCCGTCTTTCCAGCGTTTTGCCTGCCCTTTTGTGACTGTTTTGTTTGGATGATGAATATCTCATAGCCCTGCCCACGTCCTTATCAAAATTTAATGCCGCAATCCACTTTAGTTCCAAACAAGTGACTCCACAAGCGGAGAGGGAGCAGGGGAGCCTTGCATGTTAGTGATAGTACAGAGTTGGGAGAAAGAACGGGTTTTCTGTAGTATAGGATGTTATTGTATACTTATATGTATTTGTTGTGTAGTAGTCGTGTGCGTTTTGGCATGCAAGGCAAAACAGTGAATGATATCAAACTGGACCTAAAAACGTTGGAATGTCGTATTTATCTATAGATCCAAGGTTAGAGCAAAGCCAAACTCACTGTGACTGGCGGACATACTGTGTGTTTCTGTGTTTTCAAATGAGTTCTTGTTGAAAGTTGAAATTATCAAAAGATTCATGGGGTGTTTGAGACTATTAATTTACTTACCGTATTTTTCAGACTATAAGTCGCTCTGGAGAACAAGTCGTACCAGCCTAAAAAAGCGGAATGAAGAAGAAAAAAACATATATAAAATTTATTTTATAAAATCAGAGACCAGGAACCGACATTTCATCTTACAAGACAACAGAACAACAGGCTGAATAGGCGTCTGTATGTTAACGTAACATATTAAGTTATTCAGTGCATAAACATCATAACAGTTTATCAGATTCTCGATCTCACTCCAAATCACTAAATCCATTGAATTCTTCGTCCTTGGTGTTACTTTTAAGCAACTCCTCGACCTCCAGAGGTAAAGCACCGCTTCTTCTTCTGCGTAGCTGTCGTCAGACTCGGCATCATTATCCAATTATTCCAGCCTTTCTGAATCCATGGATCTATTAAAATAACTGAATCTGAAACTGAGTCTGAATCCCGACAGGATGGTTTCGGTTGTCTCTGAAGTCTAGGCTTTGTCGATTCATCCAGTGACTTCCATGAAAGTTCCACGTTGCAAGTTGTTCTCCATCCCTACTTTCCACCAGTCCCTCACAAGTTTCTTGCTCACTCCAAACTTTCTTTCTGCTGCTCAGTTACCGTTTTTGGCTGAATATTTTACTACTTGCAGCAGGACAGTGGCTCTTTCTGCAGGAGACATGCGCAGTAGAGCCAAGTGAAAGTGGTACAGGAGTAATAGGAGTTGCAGATACTGACACTTAAGCCTAGAGCGCCCTCTCGGGGCTGTCAGTGTGAAAATTTGAATATATAAGTCACACCGGAGTATAAGTCGCAGGACCACCCAAACCATGAAAAAAAGTGCGATGTATAGTCCGAAAAATACGGTACATTTCTTTTGGAGGGTTTGCTACCTGCTTGTCTCTATCAGGATGTTATAGTTTTGTCGTGCCTGGTGTTCATTCAGACAATAGACTGTATAAAGAAGAGGAGAAAGGGAGTACGATGTCACTCATAACTTTATAGTGGCTAATCTGAAACCAGGTACCAGAATTGGAAATGCAAACGAGAAAGCAAAGAGCCAATCAGGAGTGAAGCTGTTGAAGGTACACGCCACCTGCCGCTCGTCAATCAAACCTCTTGCTAACGGGAGGAACCTCAGGGAAAGCAGGCCTTGGATTGGTCTGTTATTAATGTTTACAGACAGAATCGCGAAATAAACCAGGCTCAAAATAATAGTTACAGAGAGAAGGGGTTTATCTGTGTTTTGCTGTTCAAATATACATAGAGAAACATGCATTCATGCTCATTCAATATTCAGTATGAGCAGGTTTGCGGCACAGTGACTCTTGTGGCTGTTGCCTCATAGCCAGAAGGTTCCGGGTTCAGCATCCATTTGGGATTTTCTGTGCGGAGTTTGCAGTTGGGTGGGTTTCCTCCAGTGAAGTTTACCCCATCAACCAAAAACATGCACCATAGGCTCTGTTCACGCTTTC